CTTCACCACACTTTGCTGTAGCACCCTGATCTCCAGTGATCTCTTCACGAAGGCGAGTATGGAGCAGGGCCATGTAAACATACTTTTATAGGGACTCTCTGCTCAAGCTCATGGTCCTCGAGTCCATTCTAACTCATAGAGAATCTGTGAGATAGAGTAGAACTGTCCCTATGGGTTTCTGAGACTGGGTTTCAATCTGCTTGTTTGTTTGTTTGGGGGACGGCATTGGGAAACCTCCAAACTTATGTGACTTGCTTTATTATAATACTCGCTATTTTTTGTGGTGATCTGGAACCAAGCCCCTAATGTCTCTGAGATCTGTCTGTACTTCCAAAAAATGAAAAAAACAAAAACAAAAACCAACAACAACAAAACACCCCAGCCATTGAAAACCCCAGTGGCGCCCAGCTGAACTCTGACCCATGGTCGGGAGCCAAAATCATTTGGGTTGATGACAACTGGCAACCATCCTCCTGGTTTGCAGGTCCCCAAACTAAATCCTCCGGGAATGCTGAAGGTAGTGGGGTGGGAGTACCTATGAGGGCATCCTGTCTTTTCCTCTGACTTCCTTTGCACCAATGCTGCAATCATCTCTCCGGCTCACCTTCTCATGGTGGCTGCCTTAAGTCAGGTGGGCATGCCAGCTCTCCATGTCTGCTCCTGTGTACCCAGAGACATGCACCGCTAATCAAATCAGTCTCCTTGCCACTCACTTACAGTAGCTCCCCATTTCCTATGGAGTAACATTCAAACTCTGCTGCCTCCCATTCAAGGGCTCCATGAAATGGAGTCAGCCTGCTTTTTAAAAAAAAATCACTTTATTGAGGGCTCTTACAACTTTTACCACAATCCATCCATTCATCCATTGTATCAAGTACATTTGTTTCCCTCATCATTCTCAAAACATTTGCCTTCTACTTGAGCCCTTGGTATCAGCTCCTCATTTTTCACCTCCCTCTCCCTCCCCCCTCCCTCATGAATCCTTGATAATTTATACATTATTATTATTTTGTCATATCTTACCCTGTCCGATGTCTCCCTTCAC